ACTCCTTCTCCCCCCCCCCCTGTCTTTTCTCTCTCTCTCTCTCTCTCTCTCTCTCTCTCTCTCTCTCTCTCTGCTCCCCAGGCACTTGTTTTTGGTTTAAAACGTGTTTTGTTTAAAATGTGTTGGTGTAAAATTGTTCCCCATTGTTCCCTCCCTCTTCTTTACTGCTCTTTTTTTAACCTGTCATCTTAGGTTAAAAAAAATCTGCCCCTAGTGGTAGAGGACGGATTAACCGGTTTGCATTAGTTCCTATGGGAACTAATGCTTCGACTTACAAATGGCACCTCTGCATACAAACAAAAAACAGCCAGAACGGATTACAGTGGTACCTCGCAAGACGATTACCCCTCAAAATGATGAATCTGCATGACAACGAGGTTTTGTGGCCTCCCATTTTGCTTCGCAAAAGTGATTCCTATTGGGAATTTCGCTGGACAACGTTTGGTCTGTGCTTCGGAGACCATTTTTTCACAAGATGACGATCTTTACTGCTGATCGTTGTCTTCGCAAAATGGCTTCCCTATGGGTGATCTTTGCTGGATGATGACAATTTTTCCCCATTGGAATGCATTAAACGGTTTTCAATGCATTCCAATGGGGAAATGCTTTTCACTAGACAATGATTTCATTAAACATTCGTTTTCACGGAACGAATTATCGTTGTCATGCGGGACACCACTGTAATCGGTTTTCAATGCATTCCTATGGGAGATGCTGATTCAACTTACAAACATTTCAAGAACATCTTCTGGGACGGATTAAATTTGTAAGTAGAGGCACCACTGTACTTGCGACTGAAGCTTCCACTTACAAACAGGAAAAAGCAGGGGGAAAAGGCAGGAAATTCAAATTGCTAACTGTAGGTGGTGAAAGAGGCTGCTTCTTTGTAGCTCTTTCATCCAGGCAGTTAGAGTGTGTGCAATGTGAGCGTGTGTGTGTGTTGCAGGGAGGCTTGGAACTGCCTCTTAAGCTAAGGTGCTGGTTTCTGCTTTTTAAAAAATGTTCTGGGTCTTTTTGCAGCGTGGATGAGTTCGTAAGTCAAGGGACCACTGTATATAAAATGGGCAGGATGGTTGTTACTCTGGTTCACAACATTACCCATGCATCCTGACTGCATAATAGGGTTACATATTCCTGCTAACTGGAGTTATAATGGGGTGAAAGTAGTAATGCTTCAATAAAAACTAGACTGCCATTAAAATTCAGTATCTGCATTATTACCTTACCTGTGGGACAGAACAGGAATGTTTCTGGCTCTCCTAGATACTGGAAGATTTCATTTGTAATTGAAACCTGGGCATGGGCAAAGGAGCTGAATACTTCTTTGTCCGCTGCACACATATTATGATCAATATCATCAAACAATAATGCAAAAGATTTGCAGCCGAATTGAGACACCTAGGAAAGAAATATAAAAAGTTTGAGAAAAAAAGTAATATAATCCTTAAGCTAGTTTATTATTAGGTGCCCATGTCTCTCATTGCTAAACTACCACAGGACACCTTCTGTCACCTTATAAAGAATTTGATTGAATACTGTACACTCTTCATTATTCAAACTGATGCTTCTGTATAAAAAAACCAACAATAGCCAATTGTTTTGCCTGTGAAGAAACGAGTCTGAAAAATGCTTTAATCTCCCAGTGTAAAATGAGAGAGTAAAGAGGACTGACTGGCCTTGTTAGTTGTTTCCAATAATGGCATAAAACCTCTTTTGCAAGTTAGTTACTGTACTTTCAAAGCTGTAGTAATATGATTCTTGTTCCTATACTGAAATTCCACTCTTCTGAAGGGAGCCCTAAAGCCCCTAAGTACTTTTCTTAACAGGTATAAGGAGATACAGTTGGGAGAAGGTCAGAAAAGCCCCAGTATACCTGCAGGGCCGAACCAATACACATACTGAAACAGTACAGCCGCCAACTTGGCACTCTCCTTCTAATCTGTGCTACAATGCACAACAGTGCTACCCAACACAAGCAATGCTGAGGGATGATGATATTTCTTGTACAAAACATCTGCAAGATATCCTGTTGGAGATGGTTAATATAGCGGTTTTTCAGCAAATAACCAGATTAAGACTGGCATTTACTTACATTACTTCAAGTCCAATCCAGTTTCATCTTTCTTAAAATCAAAATTCTCCAAAATGTTGCATTTGACAGACATGAACAAATATTACACACCATATTTTGCTATGCATTTTATCTACACCTCAAGAAACTGTCCCTGAGAAGCACCCATTTCTTAACAGTATAACTAAAGAATGAACCCATGTAAATAAATTTCACCAGGAGATAAAGGGGACAAAAACAGACAAAATTATGTTAACCAATTATATGGCTCATTATTTATTCTCACAGTGGTATATATAATCCTATTTTCATGCTTTACAAAGAGGTTTAGACTGCAACCAAGGTCCTTTCTGCTGGCTGAATGCAACTGGATTCCATCAACACAAAACAAATCACGCCATGTAGTTACAAAAAAGTGCAGTACTGTATTATTACAAAGTCAGTTTCAAGCAGATGAAAAGGTATAGAGAAGCTGGTGAATGGTGCTGTTGGAGGGAAAAACACCACTGTATCACAAGCCTGCTTGCTGTAGATCAACTGTTATAACACTGCTTTTTGGAATAGCAACACTAATCTCAATGACTTTGGTTGACTAACTATTGATCTTATCACTGAGGACTACTACAGTATCTACAGATGTTTTAATCTGTACAGAACAATCAAAACTATAACTGGCATTAAGTTGAGGGAAAAGTTTCTTTCCCTCAGAAGCATGATTGAAACATGTGGGTACTCTTACTCTCTGTAGCAAGCATACATCCCAGTAAGATTGCCTGCCTTGCCTTCTTATTACAACCTAGATTCCTTGGCCTTACATCACTCTGATATTCTTTCTCAAAATTTTCTTGTATTTCATTCAGTAGTTCTTGCAAAATCATTTGTCCATCTACTCAAAAGACACAACTTTTTTTAATCCAGAGAAAATAATTGTATCACCTCAAGGCTTCCTACATCTTTCCTCCAAATAAAGTAATTTCATCTGGGATGAGTAAGTCATGATACCTCTGCTGTTTCCCATTATATTTACAGTTGAGAGGAGTAAGTAAGAAACAAGTTAACTGCTATATAACTGTGAAAATACTATATGACTCTTACGAGTGATGGCTTGCACTTGTGAGAAAAAAAATCCATGTAGGTCTCACCAAAAGTGGAAACTTGTGAGGATGCTTGTCGGTTAACTTGCATTAGCTGAAGTAGCAGCACAGCAAGTTATCCTCACAAACCTGTCTGATCAGATTACTGAGACCTTTACTGTATAATAGCTTACATACCTTAGGGAAATAATTCTGCCTTGAAATCAATTTTAATTACAAAACATGAGCAGGTTATTTCCTTTATCCAACTTTTGTTGTTCCCAACTTATGCTTAAAAAGTTATAATATATAGAAATGAAAGATACCTGGTCCAGCTTGCGTTTCAATGTTGATACTTCTTTAGGATTTGAGAAGGTAATGTCAAGCCCAGGAGAGATGGCATAGATAAATTCTATCTCATATTCCCGAGCAGCTGCGATCAGAGTCATGAGCTGCTCTAGAAATCAAAGTCAACTATTTTAGCAAGCACCAACAATAAATTATATCAATTTAAATTCATTTTAAAAATTCAGAATATAATTCAGACAACAATTATTTATGGGTCTAACAAGGAGAAAAGAAGAACGAACATCTCTTGTCAGAAAGATAATCCCTCTGTACAACCTGCATAGGTACAGGTACACAGGTACAGCTAAAACTGCCAATAAACACTTCTAGGTTGAAACAAAAATAAACTACAGTGGTACCTCGGTTTATAAACACCTCGGTTAACCTACTTTTCGGTTTACAAAGCAAAATCCGTGGAAAACAATGCCTCGGTTTACTCTTTTTTTCTGGCTTTTTTCAGAGTACGAAGAACGTTTCCCCAGGATGTGTTTTGCCTGGAGGTTTGTAGAGCCACCCCCGTTCCTATGGCAATCCGCGTTTTGGTTTACAAATTTTTCACTTTATGTAACGTCCCGCAGAACGCATTAATTTCGTAATCCGAGGTACTACCATAGTAAATGAACAATCTTTCACTTAATGTGCCTCTGTTATTTAGAATATTAAAAAGGGAGATGGTTGTAAAATGATTCAAGCAATTTCTAGAAAAAGTTCCTATTCCTGATATGAAAATATCTACAAAGCAGGGAAAGCTGCTAATTTTCTCAGATATGGAAATTACAACTCTTTTTAGTTCAATTCTGAGGTACTACCATAGTAAATGAACAATCTTTCATTTAATGTGCCTCTGTTATTTAGAATATTAAAAAGGGAGATGGTTGTAAAATGATTCAAGCAATTTCTAGAAAAAGTTCCTATTCCTGATATGAAAATATCTACAAAGCAGGGAAAGCTGCTAATTTTCTCAGATATGGAAATTACAACTCTTTTTAGTTCAATTAAAAAACAGCAGAAGTTGTATCTGGCTGCAAATCCTATGTATGCTCATGAATAAGCATGATTGAAAACAGTAAGACTTTCAAGAAAACATACACAGGTGGCTCAGGCTGCACATAACACTTTGGACCAAACAGTTCCTTGTGTAGAAATAAGGGAGAAATGCTTTTTGAGGCAATTCGATGTGAAGGTAAAAATACTTTTCTCCATTTCATCTCTTTCTTAACCTTTTTATCCCACAACAAGAGGTTTTAGCATTGTTACTTGAACAATATGAAAAGAAATCAATATTCTTCAGTTTTAAAATCCATATAAGTGTGAAATCATGGACTCAGACAAACATTGCGGTATGATAACACTTGTGAATTAATTTGCAAAATAATAATAATAATAATACCTTTGCTACAGACACCATGTTAGTCACAAACCATGTAACTATAACTGGATTTTCAACCAATGATCTGGGACATATGTAATGGTGTACCAGTTTACTCAGGTCTACAGTATTTCTCAAAAATAAAGAACATGGCAAATGTGGTCTATCGACTAGAGTGGTCTATCAACTAGATAGGCGGGATATAAATAAAATAAATAAATAAATAAATTTATGTGCAAGTTGGGAAGAAGAAGTTGCACAGAAATTTATGGAGCATTATCAAGAAACTAGGCAATATTTTTTTTCTGCACCAGGCCTTAATAGAAGCACATAGGCACCATAACATATTTCTCTCGGCAGTTGTTTGCTTTGTAAACACTGTCCCTGAATATGACTGTATGATCCTGGTCTGCTGCTTGAAGGTACATGATGCCAAAAATAAAAAAAAATAAAAAACCTTACTGAAGCTAAACAGATTTTATTTTGGCTAGCACCCAGATAGGAATAACATCTGGAAATCCTAAGTGCATCATCCTGAGTTCAGTGATGGAATGAGAGGGTTGTATATAAAAATAATGTGGTAAGTAAATAATCTTTTACAACACAGTTCTTCTTTCATTCTACCTTATGCTTACTACATTACTAGAAAACACAATAAGGCTAATTACCAGCTTCCTCCACAGAATACATTTCTCGCCAAAACATCCTGTGCTTGTAGTCATCTTTTGGGGCATACAGGTATGTATTTAGCCCCCATTTCTGAAGTCTAGAAAGTAGAAAGCAAAACAGAAATTCCATTAGAAGATCATACAAATGTAACTTCCTTTCCGCACATGTCCATAGCCATCTGCATATAAATCAAACCCTACAGAAAAACTGTCTAAAAATGGCTAGAAGAGCAAATCTTGACAAATACCGTAATTGTTACACGGAAGATGTACAGTGGACCCTTGACTTACAGGAAGTCTAGAAAGTAGAAAGCAAAACAGAAATTCCATTAGAAGATCATACAAATGTAACTTCCTTTCCGCACATGTCCATAGCCATCTGCATATAAATCAAACCCTACAGAAAAACTGTCTAAAAATGGCTAGAAGAGCAAATCTTGACAAATACCGTAATTGTTACACGGAAGATGTACAGTGGACCCTTGACTTACAGACGGCTTGGCTTGAAATAATTGTTACACGGAAGATGTATCAAGCTAGTGGTTCAACCACATATACCCTGGAGCTATGAAAACTCATTGAGTGATCTTGGGCAAATCACTGTCTCTCATCTTAACCTAGCTCACAGGATTTAGTGAGATTAAAGGAGAGAGGGAAAAACGAAGATATGCCATTTAGAGCAGTGTTCCTCAACCTTGGGCCTCCAGATGTTCTTGGACTTCAACTCCCAGAAATCCTGGCCAGCAGAAGTGGTGGTGAAAGCTTCTGGGAGTTGTAGTCCAAGAACATCTGGAGGCCCAAGGTTGAGGAACAGTGATTTAGAGCTCACTAGAGGAAAGGAAGATTATAAATATAATAAATAAATAAATAATAGTATACAGGTAGCTATCTTTCAGGCATAGCCAGTGTATGAGCCAGAGCTCATAAATGCACTGTAGATCACAGCTGCTCTCTAAGAACCCAAGAACAATATCAGGTCCAGTAGTACGCTCATTCCACAAACCAGATATGTCCTATATAGGGTGATCTTTTCTGGAACAGACATTTCTACAGACTGGAAGTTCACCCATGAGCAATACTGCATTATACGGATTCAATTTAAAAGTATTTACCCGTGTCAGTCATAAATTACAGGCATGCATTCAATAATTACACACATTTTATTCATAAATTCAAAAAAGGAGTCAAAATAATGTATGAAGAAAAAAGCAGTCCAATCTCATGTCCCTCCAACATTGCTCTGTATGCAAAAACATCTTCTATGCATAGAGCATCTTTATTTGACAAGGGCTTGGCTTCTTACTAAGCAGGGAGACTAGCACTTTCAGAATGTAGCACTCCATATTATCCTCTAGCTAGAACACTATCATCCTTTTTAAAATTTATGTTTGTGAACACCTATATACTAATATATACTATATACTCAAGATTTTACGAAAAGGAGAAATGGAACTGGATGTCATCTGCATATTGACTGAGGTGAACGATATATACCCCATGGGCTTTATGCACCATGGTTGCTTTTGTGTCCTCTGCCAGGGCTCTCCATTACTCCTGCGACTGAATTCCCCGACATGACAGGGACTCCTTTAAATTAAAAAAAATGAAACAAGGTATGGGGCCCCACATGCTTTTTTTAAAAGAGCAGTTTGCTCTTGAAACCCCTTAGGAAGCATGATCCTCCAGAAAAGCAGCAAAATTTGGTAGCAATGATAAAATTACAAGTTTTGCATACATACTTCTACTTGCAGGAAGATATGCACTCCTGCGTGAAGAAGACAATGATCCAGCCCATTCTTTAATAAGCCAACTTGATAACAGACAATCTAAATTATCATCCTGTCATTAATATACTATTCATGGATAAACTGATTGAGAGCTGGTGGCAGATCAGCTGCAGACATTCTTGGAGGACACTGATAAACTTGATCCATTTCAGTGGAGGCCATGCCATGAGACTGAGATAATTCCGGTTGTTCTGCCAGATGTTCTGTTGTGGGAGACTAACCAGTGCAGTGTGAGCCTGTTACCGTGTCTCCCCCAAAATAAGACAGGGTCTTATATTAATCCTTGCTCCAAAAAACACATTAGGGCTAATTTTCAGAGGATGTTTTATTTTTTTCATGTACAACAGCGTACATTTATTCAAATATAGTCATGTCATCACCTTCTGGTTGCTGCACAATGGTGGAGGGCAGGATTTCACTGAACTGGGGCTTATTTTTGGGCTAGGGCTTATATTACAAGCATCCTGAAAAATCATGCTAGGGCTTATTTTCAGGTTAGGCCTTATTTTCGGGAAACAGGGTAATTCTCTTGAATCTCTCACTGGCCTTTTGGTACAATCATGGTATCCTCCTGAAATGGGATTAGGAATTCAAAATCATAGGCATCCTTCAGTCTCAAGAGACTATAGTAACGTGCTCTGTATGAAGGACTTGGAGAGTGTCCTCTCCAGAGCACGAAGCCTGGGTAAAGACAATATGGAGGATAAGCTGTTACCCAAACAGCAAATCCCCCCCTCTCCACGTCACTGAAATAGTCCAATGGAAAGGCAAGAGCCAATACAACTGGTTCCAGCGACGTTGCAGGTCTTTGTCAGCTCCACTAAAAATGTCTGGTTCTCAAACTGCTGATTTTCTGACCCACATCCCCTCTCCAAGATAAGGACTGCTTTTAGACCCCGTCCTGCAAACAGGTTGCTAATTATTGGAATATTCTCTCAAAGGAAGTTCGTCTGATGCCTGATTGTTATCTTTCCAACATGAAGACCTTTGTCATTCCTCAGGCTTTCTGAAAACTCTAAAAAATATGTATTTTTAAAAGCTCTGAACTTGCTACTCCGATGACCTTCAGATCTATTATTATAAAATAAGGAGAAAATCTTCCTTGAATCCACTTCTTCCTTAATGATAATAATAATTGTGTGCCATCAAGTCAATTCTGAGTAATGGCAACCATTTTCAGGGTTTTCTAGGCAGAGAGTACTCAGAAGTCGTCTTCCATTCCCTTCTTCTGGCGGCAGCTCTGGAATTGTGCAGCTTGCCCAGGGCCATACAAGCTGGCTCTTTGGGCTGTACAGTAGGAAACTGAACTCCAAACCTCTGGTTTTGCAGCCAGATACTTAACTCAATGAGCTACCCAGTTGAAACCTATTCAATGCATTGAAACCTATTCAATGCATTGAAACCTATTCAATGCATTGAAACCTATTCAATGCATTGAAACCTATTCAATGCATTGAAACCTATTCAATGCATTGAAACCTATTCAATGCATTGAAACCTATTCAATGCATTGAAACCTATTCAATGCATCTCAATGGGGGGAAAAATACAACAACAAATTAAAAAAGAGTCAGAACAAATTCAAATTTGATTAACAAAGGGTTTAAGTGCACTTTATGATTTCAAACAGTAAACTAACTTTATAAATAACAGAAAAACATTTAAAAAACAGCAAACATGAGGCTGTTTAAACCATCGTGAAACAGGGGACCCAAAATTTAATCGCTATGCGAAGCATGGTCCCAACCATCGCTAAGCGAAAATTGCCCATAGGGACCATAGCTAAACGAAGCGCAAAACACTCCGAAAGTTGTCGCTAAGCGATTTAACGGAGCACCCGTTAAGCGAGGCACCACTGTAGAAGTAAAACATTGGACTGCCTTCAGTCCTTTCTTGATGACCAGTGCCAGATAGTTCAGCTTGAGGATGCTGTTATGTCCCCATGGATCCTACAATGTGGTATCCACTGGGGTTGATCATTTCTGTTCAGCATCTATATTAGGCCATTGGATGAGGTCATTTGGAGATTTAGAGTATGCTGTCATCAGTAGGCTGATGACACCCAATTCTCTCTCTCCTTCTCATCTTCAGCAGAGGAAGCTGCGCAGACCCTGGAGTGCTGCCTGCCCACAGATATGGACTAGAAAGGTACTAATAGGCTGAAGCTGAATCTTGACAAAATGGAGATCCTGTTGTTTGGAAGAGATCCTGATCAGTTAGGGGGCTTTCTGCCTGGTCTGGATGAGACTGCATTCTTGTGAAGGAACTGATTCATAATTTTGGTGTGCTCCTGGCCCTCTCCATAAAGCATCAGATCTCAGCTGTTGCTAAGTCTGCTTTTTTCCAAACCAGGCAGATTGTACAGCAGCCAGGCTGCTCTCAGGTAAACATCAAAATATGATTGTATTTCCCTTCTACTGGCCTGCTTGCACTGTTTTCCATAATTAATAATTATTAGGGGAAATGCTTAAAAGCAATTGCACATGTTTTGAACACAATTATTTATAAATCCTAAATGCGGGGGATCTACTAAGAGCAGTTTTCGGGAATGGCTGCAGAAACCAACTGATTTTATTGCTACAAGCTATAATCCAGAGTCATTATTAGAGATGTACAAATATCCTGGATCTAGTTGGCTGGGATCCCCAATCCCACCTCATCCACTTATGAGTTGCTGTACAGCACGTGTGGCCAGCATCATGCTCATTGCTCTAGTGGCAAAAGAATCCCAGCCGGCGAGTCTCCCTGCTCAGCTGCCAGAAGAGCAGGAGGGCAGAGCAGTGACAGCCAGGCTTTGTCTGACATTGGCGGAATGAGCAGGATGCTGGCCGCACACGCTGTGGATATGTCAATTTGGGGAGGTAGGACTGGGGATCCCGGCCACCTGGGTCCGGGGTATTTGTATATGACTATCCCATCTCTAGTCATTATACTTGACACTGACAGGTACCATGCAGGTTTTTTTGAACTTTTTGTAACTTGTACATTTTTTTGTAATTTGTACATCTGACTATATGCCTTATCTTAGTTCTTAACAGAGTTATATAAAAACTTAATTATTACCTAACAAGATATTACAGAACAAAAACGGGTCACATACCTTCTAAACAGCTCTTTCCTCTGTTCCATAACCCAAGGCCTTCCATAAAATCCTGTAGGAAATATTAAAGGCAAACAGCTTCAGATATCATGCTTCAACTAAACTCCAAAACACAAATATTTTAATGATTTTTTAAAATTAGGAATACATGTAGCAACACAAAATTGATATTTATTAAATGCCACAAATATTTCTGATGAGGCAATGGAGTACTATTATATATTAAACATATGTATTTCGAAATGATCTCTTCACCTAATGGGTGCTCACGGCCATAAACGCAAAAGTTTAAAACAAACAATGCCTGAGAGAATAAAAAATATTTTTCGGCTGTTAGCAAACTGATAACACTAGTTAGAGCTGAGCTACTTTGAGTGGAAAACTAAGGGCACCACAAGTCTACTGCAGCTACATCTAATTTCATTGTGTCAGACACCTCAAGGGGAACCTAAGACAATAATTCTGGGGTCCAACTTGCCTGACAAGTGACACTTCTGGTAATTTCATCTCAAATAATTCAAGGTTTTTAAGGGTCAAAACCAGCACTTTGACTTTAGGCTGGAAACGAACTGGCAACCAGTGTATAAATCAAAGTATTGTCACAGTATGATTGTATGAGCAATCCCCAAATAATAACCTAACTTCCTGTTTTCGAGTAAAATTTTTGAATAGTTTCCAAAGGTAGCCTTATGTGCAGCACATTGCAGCAGTCCAAACTGGCAATTGTTTCAGTATGCATAACTGCTGCAACACTGTCTGTGTCAAGATGTGTCTAATAAGAGGACTGCAATCCACAAAAGCTAACACTGAAACAAATCTGCGAGTCACAAACACACTCCAATGCTTTTGATTTTTTTTTGTTGTTGTTGTTGTTCCAAGGCTATTTTTTACCGTGCAAAATCACGGTATCAGTCTGCACAGATAAAAGGCACTCAGTGTCACCAAATGGCACTTGTGTTTCAAATGAAAATGATCCAGAACAACACCCAACTATGAATCTGATCCATCAGATGAACTGTGATCCTTTCAACAGCAAAATCATTTAAAGAAACTGGCAAACCACCCAAATCAATATCTCTGCCTTGTCTAATTTTTAGGGTTTGTTATTCACCTTTTCTATCAACTTGCCAGTACACTGCATCAGAATATCAACCTTAAGATGAAAAAAAAATGAAGTTGAGCTGGGCATCTGCAATATTAGTATCAGGGGAGCCCATATACAGTATCTTGGAAGACCTCTTCGACAATGCTACAAAAAACCACTGAGAGCTCCAAAAGAAATCAACAAGATTGCACCTCCTCATTTTCTCTCACAGCATAACTCATCCAAACCAGAATAACAATGAAATCTAAATGGAAGTAAAAATGTCAATTTCATCCAAGTATACTTGAGGAGACTAGTATAAACTTGCTGATGTGCCTCATCCAGAAACTGACATTCAGCCTAATAGCTTTCCTCATTTTCTAAGTTCAGACTAGGTTCCTGGGGGCATGGTCTAACTACTGTACTGTATTTATTTACTTATTTAAAATATTTTACCCCACCTTTCTCCTTGAAAAGGACCCAAGGCAGCTTACAACAGTGAAAGGAAATAGCTGAAGTTGAAAACAATGAGTATACAATGGTGGTCAGCATAATTAGAAAACAATATTTAAAGCCAAGAACAATGTTGTTCTTAGCTTTAAATATTGTTTTCTAACTATGTTGACCACCATTGTATACTCATTGTTTACCACCATTGTATACGCATTGTTTTCAAGTGGGGTAAAATATTTTAAATAAGTAAATAAATACAGTACAGTAGTTAGACCATGCCGCCAGGAACCTAGTCTGAACTTAGAAAATGAGCTATCTGTGATTTTTTAAAAATGGCTTGCTATTCATTACTGCTTTGTCTGGATTTTTAGAACTACCTGTGTTTTCCATTTCTCAATGGCACTGATTTTTTTAAAAAAATACGCTTACTGTTCTTAGGTTTGATATTACCTTTAATCATGTAGGATGCCCCTTTTTAAAAAATCACAGATAGCTAGTTACTGATGGAAGATTTGGCTGAAGAGAAAGGTCTTTGCATGCTTCCAGGAAAACAAAGATGGGGCTAGTCTGGCCTCCTGAGGGAGGGAGGTCCAACGCCTGGGAGCAGCAATAGAGAAGGCTCACTCCTGTATCCTATCACATGCACCTGTGAAGGTGGCAGGATGGAGAGAAAGACCTCTCCTGATGATCTTAACACCCAAGCAGGGTCATCGAGGGAGATACAATCTTTGAGATAGCTTGGACTCAGACCATTTAGATCTTTATAGGTTAAAACCAGCACTTTGAATTGTGCCCAATAACTCATCAGCAGCCAGTGAAGCTGCTGTAATGGGGGTTATGTGATCCCTGTAACCAGCTCCAGTCAGCAGTCTGCCTGCTGCATTCTGAACCTGCTGGAGTTTCTGAACTCTTTCCAAAGGCAGCCCTACACAGAGCATGTTACAGTAATCCAGCTAGGAAGTAATTAGACTGTGTGTCACAATGACCAGATAGATCTGTCAAGAAACAGACATATCTTTCAAACAAGTTATTACCACAGATTTGCTTTAAAAAAGTATCTTAAATCTCTTGCAAGATATCACCAGGGATGCAAAGAATTTTCTCTCTGGAAGAGATTACAACAGCCCCTTCACTCTCAAAAAACTCCACTAAACAGTTCCATGAAGGGGCACAGAGGGTGGAAAATACATCTTTTCCTACCCACACCACCACAGAATAGGTGATTATACACTTTCTTCAGTAAGATCCAGCACAAGTTTTCCATCTGCTCAATTCCATGAGTTTTCCATTTGGTTTTCTCTCTCAGTTAAAGAGTGTGCATCAACTCTTACACTAAGCCATGATCATGCAGAACACAAAATCATGTTCACATTCAAAAGAGATAAGGGTATAAACAAGAGTGCCAGTCATACCAACTAAAAATTTCCCCAGACCCTTCTGGAATCTATCTGACTTCGCTAATCCCATACAGGAAGAAATGTTTTAAATGTTCTATCCCCAAGCTGTTTAGGGCTTTGCAGGCATAGCAAACTCTCAGAGTGGCTATCCAAAGCTGTAAAATAATGCTGTCAAGCTTCAACTATCAGGCTGAGCTGTCACTTTTAAGAGATGGCTCTGTAAGCTAGCAGGAAAAAAGGTTGGGCTGAGGAATCCTTTACATCTATCAAAGCTTCTATGCTATTAAGACCAGCATAAAGAATTTCCACAGGAAATGTTAACAAAACACTTTAAATGGTATTTTTGTTTGATACAATGAATAATCAGTTTTCCAATGTGAAACAGACATATCATGACAATGGCCACCCACCGTCTTTTACCACAGGGATTCATGTCATAATCCATCTCATACAGGGAAAAAAATCCCGCTCAAACACTGCATCTCAGCTAATCCTCATATATAAATAGCCAACCTTATACAGTGGTGCCTCGCTTAGCGATTGCTTCATTTAATGAAGAATTCACTTAACGATGTGTTTCTTGGAGGAATTTTCCGCTTCGTTTAACGATGTTCTCTATGGGGGATTTTCACTTAACAATGTCCGTTTTCGCTCATTTTTAAGTGTCTTAAAATGTTTGAAACCTGTTTTAAATGCTTGGAATTGGTAGTGCACCTTGTGAAACCTATGCAAACTTAATTTGGCTTTGTTCTGAGTCTTCGTTAATTTTTGGTGATTTTTTGTTTTCCCCATTTAAATCCATTGAACAATGCTCTTTTCATCTCTCCTACAGAATTGAGGAGGAAGCAATATACAGTGGTGCCTCGCATAGCGAGGTGAATCCGTTCCGGATTAACCTTCGCTATAGCGAAACATCGCTGAACGGGGCAGGAAAAGCCATTGGAACACATTAAACAGTGTTTAATGCGTTCCAATCGGCTCCTTTACTCACCGTTCAGCGATGTTCCGGGATGGCCGGCAGCCATTTTCGCGCCCTCCCCTCGCTTAACGAGGGCGCGAAAACACTGCGCGCGGCCATTTTGGGGCTTCCGGCGGCCATTTTGGGCCATTTCGGGGCTTACAGCTGGTCGTCGGGGCTTCGTTTTGTGAAGATCGGTAAGCGAAACGCTTACCGATCTTCGCAAAGCGAGTTTCGCCCTATCTAAAAGTCATTGAGCGATCGCATTAGCGATCCCAAAAAGGGATCGCTATGCGATTTTGTCGTACAGTGCGCTCGTTAAGCGAGGCACCACTGTAACTTTATTTTAGAGTTTGGCAGCATCAGGGCAGTTTATAGGAAGGGAAGAGGATGTATTTGGAAAAAAAAATTAGGCAACTCAACACAATCCTTAGGGCAACCAGAATCCTATGTTTGATGAATGCAAAAAACTATAACCCAACCTTGGAATGACAGCCATAAGCAGTGGTCATAATCAGCTAAATAGTGATCCCCATGTAGCCACTGCACTTGACAGACCACCTTGGGAGAGCTGAACCTAACAAGCTCCCACTGCAGCGAGAAAATGCAAGATCAGATGGAACAAAAGGGTAAGGCTTCTATAAGCCAGAGTTTTTAACATGGCTATTTTGGGCAGCCCAAAATATATGGGACTTTTAAAACAATCACAGAGCACATTAATTGTAGCAGAAAATTATATTAGCAATAGTATCAGATGTTTACAAATGTAACTGTAAAAATTAAAGATGAAGGGCCTCTTATTCATACTGGCTGGACAGCAACTCTGTGTGGGAAGCTGTAATGCACATTCCAGCCAAAATCATCAATATGACACTCCAGAAATGAAGGTTTGTGGAAAGAATTAAATCAGCATATACCATTTTTTCTTGGCAGTGCTTTAACAGGCAGCAATGCGACCAGCTTAAGCTGTATTACACATACAGTTCTTTTTTTTAAGTATAATACAGAACTTAATTTTTTTAAAATAACAGTTTTACTCCAGACAGCATCTACTAATCATCTAGCTTCTCTCCCCACTTTATGAAATTTATCACAAAGTGATTACTAGCTTGGACACATTTTTAAAACACTACACTAAATGAAAACATGATTCCTTTTTCCAAAGTTAGCCATCATCCACATGATTTGTCCAGAAACAGGAACACCCAATTATATTTTAAAAAATCTAATTACAACTGTGTATTAGTTACAATGTAGATTAAAAATCTACAGTATAATCATTGTGCAATCTTACGACTGTTTGGTCTTCTGACCCTGCAGCACAGGCTTCTGCGGTTTAGCCCGCAGCGCCACCACGTCCCAAAATACAGAACTTAATTTTTTAAAAATAACAGTTTTACTCCAGACAGCATCTACTAATCATCTAGCTTCTCTCCCCACTTTATGAAATTTATCACAAAGTGATTACTAGCTTGGACACATTTTTAAAACACTACACTAAATGAAAACATGATTCCTTTTTCCAAAGTTAGCCATCATCCACATGATTTGTCCAGAAACAGGAACACCCAATTATATTTTAAAAAATCTAATTACAACTGTGTATTAGTTACAATGTAGATTAAAAATCTACAGTATAATCATTGTGCAAGAATAGCTGCAAAAGCAAGTTAACATATAAAATATTATATACTGAAACCACGCACAGCTTTACCACTGTCTAAAAGCAATTTTAAGCTGACAAACATCTATTCCCCTAAATAAAATTACAATAGCACTTCATATGGCATTCAATATGTAAAGAACTAATGTATCACAAATCCTACAGAAAAATAAAATAAATCCAACTGCATGTAGAAGGTACAGAATAAATACAACCTTGTTTCTTTCTACTTAATATCTTAATTTATTATACATAATCAAACTAGGAACCAGGCAACAGGCCCCAAATACAGACTAAAACATTACAGCAAAAATGTATTTATTTCTTTATCCCTTACCTAAATTTATACACCGCCCCTTAGTGCTGAAACACTATTCTCAAAACTCAACAAGACACTAAAATGTAACGCAAACAACAATAGCATAGCATAAACATAAAAAATCAATTTTCACAGTATGCGGAAAGGAAGAAGTGCGGCTCAGAAGCCTACAGAGCTTGAATTCAACAGTAACGTTCATAATGAGACACTAAACTAAACCGAATTGCCCATATGGTTCCAAGGCTTCCTTTCCAAGGCGGAGTTCCTGAGATGAGCCGAGGAGGAAGAGACCGGTAGAGAAAGAAGCGGGGCTTTGTTCGGCTCCTTACCCGCGTCTCCGCCTTCTCGCTGGCCGATCTCTCTCTCTCCCCCCCCCTCCAGCCCTAACCAGGGGAGGCCCACGGCTTCAGTAGGATTCATCGAAAGGCTGGATTTCTAGCCTGCAATTAATGCAATGGGGCTACTCTCAGTTGCGGCGAGTGAGAGGACACTGACTTCAAGCGCCGTCGCCGTCGCCGCGCCCTTCCGGTTCCCAGCACTGCCTCTTACCTTCTACGACGCCGCAGAGGAACCGCCGCGTCCCGCCGCTGCCCACAGCTCTAGCGCTCCGCTCGGCCTCCGTTTCTGGGCCCGAGGGCTCGGTTCTCGGAGGGGATGATTCGCTGGCGGAGACCACGGCAGATGCCGGGCTCGGGCTAGGTGTGCCTTGAGGTTCCTCTTGCGTCTCATCGACCATTCCGGCCAGGCCCGCTCCAGGACTCCCGTCCGCCGCCATCGCCCGCCCTTCCTTCCCTACTCTCTCTCTCTCTCTCTCTCTCTCACCGGAGCAGGCTGCGCTTGCGCGGGCAAAACCAGCCCCAACCGGTCCGAGCCGGAACCAACCGCTCTCCTCACTCGACTGCCAACCGGGACCGCGGCTGCTGGTCACGTGCAGCTCCACCTCCCTCTCCTCCGTGCGCCAGCCGCAACCAAGAAACAGGGCAGCGAGCGAAGCGCCCGACAAAGCAGCTGCTTTGAGGCACAAACACAGCGACTGCGGGTGGGGCGGGGGAGGAAAATCTCTGCTGCGCAAGCTTGACGAACTGTATCTCATTAACTGCGCATGTCCTACAGGGTCGTGGGCGGGGTCGTGCGAACACGCCTGCGCAAAAATTGGAGCCGCGGTGTACTGCGCATGCGGGCGACGTTAGTGCTGATGTGTGATTGGTGTGTAGGCGCTGGAGGCGGGTACAGTGCGCGCGAGGGCGGGTAAATAAACAAAGTAGTAGGCTCTAGAGCGCAAGCGCGGAACGAGTGGCTGGGGGAAGTGAATTTTTCCAAGCGAACACTGCGTAAAGGGGAAGGTTTGCGCGTGCGGAGAAGAGTATACTAGGCGGGATTATAGCCTTGCAGCGCGAGTGAAGAAGGGAGGGCAGGTTGAGAGTACAGTACGTAGTTATTTTGCAGCCTGACCTACTTTCCCAGGTTGTTGAATAACGTTGAGCCCCGTGGAGGGCTAACGGGATACGTGCTACAAATCCAACTTGTTGACGGAACTCTTTGGTAACGCTTTACCGTTACTCCGTCCAAGCAGCAAAACACTGCGCGGGCTTGAGACGCCAGAGTTCAAATTCCCTTCAAACATGAGAACCTGTACTACCTGGAAGAGTGGTTGTGAGGATAAAAGAGGGAGAGGGTTTGAGCTCCTTGAAGGGGGTGCCCAGAGTAAACAAATGAATAGCCTCCAGAGAAAGGGCCCTATAGCACCTGATTTTTAGGGAGAAGACTTGGCTGGAAAAAACTTATCTGAGGCCTGGAGAGAAGGTTCTGGTTGGGGGGGAGACAGTGGTGACATGGACTGCCGAGACGGAACATCCTTGTTATTTAGCTGGGCGGTTCAATCTCTTGCCGGTTCAGAGACTTAATGTCCAGTTTGTTTGATTTGTCTCCTTTTTATACAGTATGTTGTTTGCCTGATTAAGAATAAGATTACTAAATTTTGTTTCGAAAAGTACTGGTCTCTGGCTGAGCAAGGATGCAGCCAATGCAGATGAGTTGGACTGGACTGGATGGACTTACGTATAAGCCTTTTCCATCTCAATTATTCTATGATTTTATGAAGTCAAGTATGCAACATGTGAATCAGATAATTCAGGATTGGATTCAGTAGATGTAGAGAAGAGCTAATACAGCACCTAGAACTGGTGTTAGAGAAAGTCTGTAACAACATAAATCAGGTTTCCAGCTTCCAGTAATTTTAACTTAGGAAGGAAACAGTAGTTTTCTATTACATGGTTGTGAAGCTGTACTTCTATTCTTAAAAGTTGGGTTGGCTTTTAGTGTTTCTAGTAGCATGGAGTTTCACAGTATAATTCAAAAAGTTGTAACTTTTTCATTTTACTAAAAGTAAATTTGCATTCAGTTTGCTTTTTTCCAAAATACATGTAATTTTAGATTTCCAGTGTAGACTTTTTTCTCCTTAGCAGTTCTCTAAGTGGATGAGTCCAGGTCTTTTTAGCTTTTATATGTGTGTGTCAAGGAGATATTACGACTTCTTACCATTGCTTCTCTCCTTCGTGGGCTTCTCTGAAGATTTCCTTCTTTGTGTACTGCAGAGTGTTTGCAGGATTTCTTATACAGTACTGTATTCCAATAAGTGATTGAGACATATAAAATTATACAGAGGATGGATAAAGTGGATAGAGGGAAGCTTTTTTCCCCCTCATGCAATTCCAGAACCAGGGGACATCCACTCAAATTGAGTTTTGGGAGAGTAAAAACAGACAAAAGAAGTATTTCGTTACCCAGCATGTTGTTAGTCTGTGGAATTCATTGCCACAGGATGTGGTGATGGCATTTGGTCTAGATGCCTTTAAAAGGAGATTGGACAGCTTTCTGGAGGAAAAGTCCGTCTCAGGTTACAAATCATGATGGGGATGTATCATCTCCAGGCTTAAAAGGAAGGTATTTCAAAATGCCAGATGCATGGAAATGGTATCAGGAGACCGGTATCTAGTTGTGTGCTCCCAGAGGCATCTGGTGGGGCCACTGTGAGATACAGGAAACTAGACTAGATGGGCCTTTGGACTGATCCAACAGAGCTCTTCTTAGGTGGATATAAAACGTTTTTCACCAGGGAGAGTTATTGTAAGGGTGAGGCTTCTAGTCCTAGGAATAAAAACAACAAACAACTCCACACCCCCACCCCTGATTTATGCTATTCTCTTGTGTCAGCTTCTCTGTTTCTCTATTTGCATTAGAATTTTGAAAACCCAGGTGGCACTTTGTCATGTTAGTATTGGAGACAGCGCATCATTAATGACTACTGTTTTTCACCATCATGAGGCTTTTTAACCTTGGGCCTCTTATCTGTAGTCTCTCTTCTTGCAAGATGATTCTGCACAGTACTGTATAAAGAAGCATTCAACAACATGTCATCCAGGTGAACAACAGCTTTCATCATCTTAGCCAGCAATGCTAGTTGACAATGATGGGGTTCTAATCCAATAAAATTAGCAGGGCCAGACAGATGACGGGCTAGGGAATAACATAAATGACAGTTTAATAGAATTGGATTGACTGGAGATCAAGGAGCGATTCAGGGTGCTGCTGTTGCCTCTGCTGATAACTAGAGGGTACTGTCCTTATAGATTCTGCTTCCAATATTCTTTACTTTTTGAGGACCATAGATGCAGCTATGGGAGAAGGGGGCCAGCAAATCTATCTAGATTGAAACTTTCCCACCCCAGAAATAGTATAACTGACCCTGAGATAATTGTGTTAGGGAATGGTTATGTTTTTAACAAGCAGGCAGAACAAAAGGAGACTTTGTCATGAGCTATGTCATGTATAACTGCATTTTTATTTTTATTTCTTGTGGTTTTAGATTTCTCAGAAGGGAAATTCATACAAAACAACATTCTTTACTACTTTTTAGTATTTCAGTGAGAGCAAGCAATTGAGGGGGAGTCTGGAAGGTGAATCATGTCAACTGAAGTTACCACTTGTTAGGTTAAAGAAGCTACTTGGATGAGCAGTGAAACATTTCAACCTAACAAGAAAGAAGTCCGGTTGCCATGACTCAACTTCCAGATAACCTCACCTGGATGACCAAGAATCTTCACAGATCAATTAAGGGGGTGCTTAGGAACTGTAAGATCTAATAGGACCCATGTATGCCATCTTGAAGTTGATGATGGAAGAATGATTAGAGATAAGCGTGCTGCGTTAAAAAATTTAAAGTAAGAACACATGGCATTAAAAGAGTGATGAAGCAGATGGTTTGAGCAGATGAGGACTCAAGAGGCTTAGGAGAAAAGGAGAGAAAAGAGCAAACTGTGATTAAACCAGGTGCTGTAAAGAGCTAGAATTGCATATTTTGTTAGAGATCTTTTGTATGTGTGTGTGATTAGTTACTGCAATCTGTGAAATGATACTACAACTGTTTTGCCTATCTAACATAATTTACTCAGTTTTTTGTCTTCAGGCTAATTGATTCTTATATTGTGTTAGATGGGACCTGTCAGGCCTCTGTTTAACTCAGCCATCAACACTACTTGAGGAAGGCTATGCAGAGAAAAGCTATGGGAGCCTGGAACTGCAGGTTTGTAAATTATGTGGAGGGAATGTATTTATTGTAAATTGTAAGTTCTTTGATTTTATATAGTTTTCTGTTTTTATCTATGTAAATTGTGTAGTGGGAGGCCGGAACTACAGGTTTGTAAATTATGTGGAAGGAAGGTATTTATTGTAGATAAGTTACAAACAGGTGCAGTATCAGTTGGAACACATGCCAGTGTTGCAGTGTAGATGAGCTACAAACAGGTGCAACATCAGTTGGAACACATGCCAGTGTTGCAGTGCTTTTTCTATAATTTTTATTTTTAAAAATCATGTTTGTGCATATAGGAGGAGGTTTTGAACAGCAGAATTGAGGCAGGAGTGGACAGAGGTGAACCCATTGCTTTGAATCCTGAATTCCCTACAGGCTTTGCAGGGTGGCTGTTGAAGAAGAAGGGCCTTTTTCTGTTTTTTCTTAAGTAACCATCCATATTAAATAAAGTTAAAAGTAGCCCTGAAAGCAGACATGAGCGAGGGAGTGGTGAATAGGGGAGGTGAGGAAGGAGCCTTGTATCACCCAGACCAAGATATCTGTAAAATCTGGAGCAGAAAAAAACATATTGGGTACAATTTTAAACCATAGTAGAGCTTGATGTCATTTGATACAAGAGAAGTTACTGTGGATTTGATCTGTTTTTCCAAACAGTGTAGTTGCAGCTGGACTAGGTCAAAACTAACATATGTAGATAGTCACCATTATGATGTTCTCAAACCTTAAATTCCATTTTCCCCTACTAATTTGTGGAATTATTCATTACTGATCAGATGTATACAAGCTTATAACTAGTTTCTAGCAAGGTAAAGAAATCAACATGATATATGTAAATGAGCATACATTTTCCATAATATATTATAAAACCAATTCAGTGCATTCATTTGGGAAGAAGGGAACTGAGATACTGCTTGAATATTTTTGATCTGCTATCATTGTTAGATTAAGTCGTAAGAATAGTTATAGAGGATTTAGTAGGGACTTCTACCTCTATTCAGAGTTTTGTTAAGCAGATATAGAATAGTTGGGTTTCAACATGTATTTCATGCTTTATAATTACAGATATCATGGGAGTTGGTATTACAAGGTAGGAAAGATGACATACATTGCTTTGGAGGATAACAATACAACACCTAATTTGGAGACCCTGAGGACTTATGGTACAGTATATAAAATCAGGCTCAGCCTTCTGTTACAAGGAGCAATTTGCTGTAACTCCTCACTTGTTTTCCTTTATTCTTTTCCTGAACTGTCAGACAAATCCAGCATCTTTTAAGAAGGATCCTGTTTGGATGGAATCTGCA